ACAGCTGCGATGGTTTGGGCATGTGTTGCGAATGCCTCCAAAAAGGAAGGCTAAGCAACTGTTCCTTGCAGATCCGACCGGCAGAAGGTCCAGGGGACGGCCAAGACTAACCTGGTGCAAGCATATGGAAGGAGTCCGTTCCAGACTCCATTTGCCTTTTGCCGAAGCTCAGACTCTGGCACAGGATCGGGAACGTTGGAAGCACTGTCTGACTTGTCTGCCTCAGCGACCCGAAAGGAGAAGCGGCGATGGAAGATGAAGATGAAGGTTAAGAAAAGGATTTTGTCGTTGTTGAAGAAACGAGTTGAACATAAGCCATTTACTCTAATTCGTCAACCTCTCGTCGCAAGCCGAAATAAGCAAAAGTCGACCAGAAGGTTAGCTTGAGACTTGGAGGATCGAGGGAAGGGCATTTCTGCTTTCAGAGAAGAATTGCTTCTTCTCAGATGCGATAACTGCACCTTATCGCTAAACTGCTGAAAAACTGCGAATACGGTGGAGACTAACATCAAAAAACGTTCGCCTTACAAAAATTGCGCTGGGCGGTAATTGCACAAATCTTGTCATCATTTGGCCAGATTCTTCTTCTTAGGTTGCAAAGCCATGTGCAGCCTTATATGTGTAAATTGTCTTCTCGGTCGTCTTCAACTCTGTTAAATTGTTCTCTTGCTGAATATATATAAAGTGGGTCTGCTATGATGAAAGGATCGGACAGCTTAATAATAATAATTTCCAAGTGGTACAAACAGGTGATAGAACGCAAGTTCACGAGAATATCTCTTTCCAAGGACAAAGTGGCTCGTCTATACTTGCTGTTTAAGCCCTAGAGCAAATCCACATTTACCGCGAGTCATTGCCATTGCTCATCCACGGGAGCATGACGGTTAGTAAGGCCTGCTAAACAATAAAGTCGTATTAGCAGCGTCACCGCGTCACCCTAAGTTGATGGCTTGTATCAGCACGCAAACTGAATCATAAAATAGTAAATGTAAGTTTAACGTTTGACCAAAGCCGTATACTATTTTAATTGGATTTCCATTGGTATAAAGGGCATTAGTGAATTACAGATTTAAATTCGCAATTTCAATTCGTTGTCACACTGTGACTCAATGACTTCACGCAATCGTCAAACAATAAACATTTAAATTGGCTAAGATAAATTTTGTATTATGCGCATAGAGGTTGTCAACGATATCGAATGAGAGATTAAATCAATTTACGCAAATAACTGTCTACTTAGCACTCACTACAACACAGCGATACGCTGCCTTTCCGAACTTCATTACCTCCTGCATGTCACAGCGGAGTCATAAAGTCTTCGAAGTTCATCAGTGTGTGGTACTCTACTCGTAGAAAGTTTCCATTATCAGATAGCATGAAAAATTATCTGAAACAGTTAATACAAATGGATAGCTTCGAGATATAGAGATTGAAGCTAACGGTATCCCCTAACAGCAAACCATCCAAATTTTGGAATGTATTAGATGGACATTAGCCTGATCTTTCAGACAAGCAGCATGTTTTTAAACTCTTACATTAATACTTTAAAATCATGTTCTCTTGGCAGACAGTACCGACAATTAGGATTTCTAACTAAACCCGGAACTGTCATGGATACTTCTGTGTACTGTAAATATTACAGTCGCGGAATTGTGAATAAAATTATAAAAACAATATCAGTGCTTCCCTTGAGCGATGATTCAGTGTTCAAGGAACATTCACCCGTAGCGGATGATAGTCGATTCACGCAGAGCATTTGAGAGCGCATGGGCATTTCGTTTAATGGATCTGTTCGTCGTAACGAATTCGTCACAAGCGGTTTCACTGCACAAAGTAGTCTGAAGGCAAAACGTCAACGGCAACAACGTCAAACGAGGAACGCGAAAGAGGTACGGTGAGGCTGATGCAAATTAGTCAAGACCCAACGGTTCATCGTTGAGGTTACACGGTACGCCGGACAGAATTTTGTAATCTCCGTGAGTAACAAAAACAGACGGTAAAATTGTTCCGCGGTTTAAAATCAGTTGATTAATTAATTAACATCCGAAGCTGGAGGGCAATGCGTCTGTCAGAAACCGGCTTAAAAAGTGGCGATCGCAAATAAGCAGGCGATTCAGAGACGATCGATGATGCTAGTGGTCGGTGGCAATCCGATGAAGGCGGTGGTCAGTGGCAAATTTCACGGCTACTGATGGTGACGGTTCTTGAAAGCGATGCAAATGCGACCAACGGATACATACATACTCATTGCATTAGAGGAACGCGGTCGCGGCCAAACTGCTGTTGATCGTTTTCAATCGATCGTCTTTAATTGTCAATCGAAGAGAGACGTGCGTGCTTCGTCAATGCAGTGGCTGAAGTCAGTCAGTAAGTCAGTCGGTCAGTCAGCGGTAATCGATGACCAGCAGCGACGTAATCCAGATAGAGAATGGGTGCATGTGCTTAGAAACACAGTTCGGTGATTGCTAGCTTTCGACAGTGTTACGTGATGTTCAAGTTCGACGTCCGTCTGCTGTCATGTCGTCTGCTGGCCGTTGCCATTAAATCCGTCATGAGCTAAAACGTTCGAAACTCGGATCAGATGGCGTTAGCGTTTCGACGACCGTGTTGTGTGACGGTCGGTCGGTCGATACGACGACTACCTGTCTGTATGTAACTCCGCAATTAATTAATTAATTAATGCACAATTAAATTATTTAATGTCGTGTGATTGCGACGCAGAGTGCGACACGCTTCGACATGAATTCGACGGAGAACTGAGCCAAACCGGTGGGCGGGACGTTCAAAACGAACGATCGCCATTCAGCATTCATTCGCATTTTCAAACCGACAGTCACACCTCAGGCCGAGACTGAGGCTCAGGCAAACGACCAGAAAACCTTACAAACGTTTTTTGACGATTCAGTAAGGCGCGAGCGCGAGAGCGAATGAAACACACAAGTCATATTACACGGCATTGCAACAAAATCATCATCATTACCATGAACATCATTATCGTCATAACTATTTCCTCAATGATCAACAAAGAAAGTAGTCAGTAATCCGTGACAAGTTTCGCTTCGCTTCGGCTTACGCAGCCGCCTAGAAAATCCTAATCGAAATCGCAATCGAACATCTGTCGATGGAAGATATGTGCAAAGCCGCTGACGGCAGTTTTCTTCAAATCGAAATACAGCGTTCTGTTCAGTGCCAGACACCGGCCGCTGGTCCGGGTCCGGGTCCGGGTCCGGGTCCGGCGAGTGCCACCGTCGCACGACAAGCCAAACGGGACGTAGATGGATGGTGTGATTTGTTTCCTCGTCGCCCGATCGTCAACAGCGATCGAGACTCACTGTCTAAATGTTACCCGTGAATCCGACCAGACACCATCACCGAATGTCGTCGCGATCAGACCCGATCCGATCCGATCCGATCCGACCCGATCCGTTTCAATCCCACACAACCACCTACCGTATACGAGGCGTAACAAGCAAACCGACACGACTGCGTTACACTGACGCTGGTCGGTTGGTCGTTGGTCCATCGGTGGTTGGATAGAAAAAAACTTCTATGAACGCCGACACGAACCATTACCGGTGTCGATCGGTCCGCTGCTTGAATGCGACGTCGCCGATTCGAAGCTTCGATAATTCGTTGGCCAATGGCAGCCGTGCGAGCATCAGTTCAGTTCCGGTTCTGGTTCCGATTCGGTCTGATGGCCGGTTAGCCCACGCCCTGCTATCGACGGCTCTCGCTGGCAAGTACGATACGAAGCACGACCAGTGCCGATGCCCATGACGACACACAGCACTAGTCACTCACTGATCGCTGATACGCTTCGCAATAAACTTCCTTGCCAAACGACGGTGACGGCAGCACTCAACCGATCGATCGGCTAATCCTCCTGAGACACATCAACGACAGTGGTACGTAAAAAAATTGCCAATCACATCGCGCTTTTCTTCTTCTGTGCACCAGCACCGACAGATGTGACGTACGACAAAGACCTCTTCACTGCAATCACGCAATTACTTCGGGGTGAATTGTGGAAACGTGCCGACGACGTTGGCCGCAGCAGCGGCAGCTTGCTGACTCGCCATAATCGCTAGAAAAGTAAATGGCCATTTTATTAATGACTAATAAAACAACGCCGGCGTGCAATCCGCAAGTGATCAATCGATCGTTTCCAGGAATTCTCCTCGTTTCTCCCTCCATTCCGTATTTCACTCACCATCTACCACAACAGATAAACTGGTTGAACAGAAATCGCGGAAATCCGTCAGCGTTACTTGTCGGTTAACGTCAAATCCATGCATGTGAGATTCCGCAGCAAGATTCGCAACAAGTTCGCATTTTCAGGTGATGGGAGGGGGCAAGCCACTTGTAGGACTGGTCAAACTTGAAATAGCTAACCCGCTATCCAGCTAGGGCGATGAGCATCAAATGGTATATATAACGGTTAAAAAACTGAATAAAAACATTCTACTAAAGAAGCACAAAAAATGGAAGAAAATAAAAAAGAACATAGAGGAAAGAAAATAGGACGCGAAAAGAAAAGAAGCGAATATCAGTAGGTATAGC